TCTCTCTCTCTCTCTCTCTCTCTCTCTCTCTCTCTCTCTCTCTCTCTCTCTCTCTCTCCATCTCCCCCCCCCGCCCCCCGCTCGCTTGCTCGTGCGTGCAAGCACATTAGCACAATTTTTTTTTGAGTGTCTTGATGACCAGGGATTGCATATGGGGGGGCGTGTAGTTTCTTAAGGGTCTCGATGGAACTGATCGGAGCAGATACTACAGTTGATTGTGTGGGGTAAAGGGGGGKGGGGGGGGGGGTAGTTAGATTGTTCTCTCTCTCTCTCTCTCTCTCTCTCTCTCTCGGCAGAGGGGATCGTGCACAGAATGAGGGGAGAAAAGGTGGAGTAGGGGCTGAAGAGCGGAGGAGGGGGAAGGGCGGAGGAGTGGCCAAAGGGTGGAGTCTCCCACTCGCTCGTGTTTTTTGTTTTTTTAATAGGAAGAAAAGGTCTCCATGGATCACGAATCAGATTTGGAGCTGATCGGAGCAGATACTACACTTGATCGTTAGGGGTTGGGGGGGGGGGAGGAAGATGGGGCGCGTAGTTAGTTAGATTGGGGTCTCTTTCTCTCTCTCTCTGTGTCTCTCTAGTCTCTCTCTCTCTCTTGCTCGTTCTCGCATGTGAAAGTTTTTTTTTTCTTTTTTTAAGGGTCTCGATGGACCACGGATCATATATGAAACTGATCGGAGCAGATGCTGCACTTGATCGTGTGTGGGGGAGGTGATTGGAGTAGCTACTGCGTTTTTTTTTTTTTTACAACGGTCTCGATGCTCAAGGATCTTATATGGATGCCTGCTCTCTCTCTCTCTCTCTCCAGGCGGAGGGGAGCACGCGCAGAATGAAGGGATAGAAGGGCAGAGGAGGACGCGGAAGGGAGCAGAGGGAGGGGGCGGGGGGGGCAGAAGCAGCGGCGAGGGAGAACCAGCGGGGCTGAGGGAGGGGTGAGAGGGGGAGGAGCGGAGGAGGGGTGGGAAATTGACCCGGACAGGGGAGCCCTTCGCTGGTGCAGGGCTCCCCACGGGTGAGAGGGGGAGGAGCAGAGGCGGGGGGGGGGGGGGGGGGGGGGGGGGGGGGGGGGGCGGGGGGGGGGGGGGGGGGGGGGGGGGGGGGGGGGGGGGGGGGGGGCAACTGACCCGGACAGGGGAGCCCTTGCGCTGGTGCAGGGCTAGCTGATGGCGACGCGGACCGCAGGCAGCATGGAGAGCGCTGGCGGAGGGCAGGCGCTGGCTTTGGCGGAGGAATGAACGCCTGCCGAGTGCGGGCAGAGGGGGGGCCGAGGGCGCTGGCGGAAGGGAGCAGCACGAGCGTTCGCGCGCGCGCGAGAGAGAGAGAGAGGGAGAGACGGATAGAGGAGGGAAGTGGCCCCTGACGTCGATCTCCCATTTTGGAGCAGTTTTCTGGTGTCGACGTGCCACCCATGCATGCCATCACCTCCCAGCCACGTGCTCAACGGCAGAGGAGAGGAGCCACGTGCTCAACGGCAGAGGAGAGGGAGGCAGGGAGGGGGGGTGTGGGGGGAGAGAGAGAGAGAGAGAGAGAGAGAGAGAGAGAGAGAGAGAGAGAGAGAGAGAGAGAGCTTTGTGAAAGTGTGTTATGTTACAGCGGGCGCTTCAGGGAACTGCGACCGGCGCTTCACGACAATGAACAGCCACGGGCGCTTTCGGCTTTGAAACAGACCGACAGGTGCCTCACCGACAGCACTAAACGACACGGGTGCCACATTCGAAACAGAGGGGCGCTGCAGCCACGGCACGGAACGACAGCAGACTCAGTGGGAAACAGCGCCACACGGCGCTCGAACAACCCGTTGAAACTGAAAACCTGCACTGCCATCTGGGCCGTCGGACCCTACTGTGCCGAAGGCCTGGATTTGGACGCGGGCTTATATCAAGTCCGTGCTGATCCAGGCCGCCGGTCCGGTAGAACCCGATGGCCCAGATCACAGATTTGATACAATCTCCCGACGATATGGGCCGTGGGCCGGTAAGACCGTGATGGCTCAGATTTCTGTTTTGTTACAATCTCCCGACGATCCGGGCCGTGGACCGGTAGGACCGCAACGGCCCGTATTTCAGATTTGTGATGCTAGCAATTTTAGTAGTGCAGGGACCTGTTTGAATCGTACGTCTGAAATGGTTGTTCTATTTGAACTGTAACATTCTCATGCTATCATTTGAAAGGTAGGGTAGGGTTCTTGCCATTGAACGGGACCACCATTGAATGGGACCACCATGGAACACCATTCTTCGTGATGTAACTTCGAAATTGTGAGAATGGTACCTTATTGTACGGTACCGTAACAATGATCACATGAACGACACCATTTTCAAAGTTGCCATTCTTGCGATATCGTTCTTGTGGTATTTCTTGAACGGTACTGTTCTTATGGTATATTTGAAGAGTACCATTCTGTGATGCTACTAGAATGACACCCCTTTTCCAGGGCAGTCAGAAGAGGTAGTATTGACTTTAGCAGAGTTCGTCTGCTGTTTTATAAAGGACAAATGTTCAATGTGTAACAATGCGTGTAAGGAAGAGGTTCATGCTTGTGGGTGGTGAAAGTCCAGAAATGTCGAGTAAACCTATCGTGAATCAGATGACGTTGCACCAACGCAGCGCATTGGACTTTGTACACTTGGAAGATGGCGAAATGGTGTTGGTGCCGAAGTTGTTGGACTTGTTGAACATGATAGGAGAAGGGAGGGTGGGATAACTCCCCTCTGATTGCGACTGGGGCATTGACTGCTGAGACTTGAAGAGTACTTTTGAGATTGTGCCAGCATTGTGCTGGGATTGAAAAGTTAATAAGTTACTCCGTTACCTACACAGATACACCACAAATCACAATCAGAAATAGCGGAAGCCAGCAGACCTACAGTGTCGGGTTCTAAGTCAAGCAGGCTAACTTAGAGGCAGGGGTGAGGGGTGGTCCACTCGGGTCTCAGCCGTAATGGAGAGGAGCGTATGTGTATCCTTATTGTATTCTCCATTGACTTGCCGGGGGAATAGGAACGGGACTGTTGCTCCCCAGAATGGTAGGAGCCAGAACCATGAGGTTCTGTTTTTATTTGAAAAAAAAAAAGAAGTTACTCCGTTAGGAGGAAAATTGAAATCACAGTTTAGTAGCTGATGCTTGCTGGTTTTGTTGTGGGTTTGCAGTTGTTGTGACAGCTGTGGCTGATTTGCATTCACGTCCTCGGTTTTACTCCACTGCGGAGGTTGTGGCTTTCTGTCGACAGTGGCGTCTTCCCACTAATGACTATTGGCTCTTCTCCACCAAGTAAGTCTTTGCTCGACTTCACTGCTATTGTTGTTTCTCTCTTGCTCATTGGTACCATTCCCTGCTGCCACTGCTTCTCACAAAAAACTTGAAAAAAGAGGAAAACACCTTCCTCCTGCTGCCTGGGTTCCTCTATCGAACTTCAAGCCATGCTTTGATAAACCAGTTGAGGCGGGGCGTATTTCAAATTTTGCCTATCCATAGGGGCATATTGTTTGGGAAGCTTTAGGATAAGAAAACAGCTTACGGAAAGTTCGGGGAGTCTTTTTTCTGCTGCTGGATATCAAACAGTGGCGTGAAGCATCCTGTGCATCTGCCCTGTATCTATGATAAAGCCTCGTTAAGCGCCCCCCAGTCCTTGGGTTTGGTGGAAGTGACGCCCCGAAATTTGCTGTGGGCTGGATGCATCCTTTTTCGTTCCCTACTTTTTGTCTTGAATGGGTGCATTTTGTGGTTGGGGGATAGTGCAGGGGGGGTGGGTGAGAAACAAAAGCTTGAGAGATTGGTTGGTTGAACTCGGGTTCGAACCCCTAGCAACCCCTGGTGAGAAGAGCCGGTGACCGGATTTTGTATTGACTATCATGTCCTTATCTTGCAGAAGACGGTAGCAGTGGAGGTGGAGCTTTAGGGATGTAGTTCGTCAATTGCCACTCTTTTCTTCCGAACGTGGGTGCTGGGCCAGTTGTATCCGCCGGGTGACCAGCCTGCCGGACCTTGAAAGCCTGCTGCAGTGGTAGGCCAGTCTGGCAAGCCAGGACTGGGCTTGCAAGGGTGCGGCAAAATAGCTTAAGCAAAAGTCATGGTGTAAGTCTGGGAATCTGGGATTCAAACAATCTTTGTCTGTTTCTCTGTATGAGTGGTGGTTCACGATCCTGGGCTGACCGATATTGTCTGTCTGGGGCTGTTGGGATCACAGTTGGGTTTGATGTCCAGATCTATTTTGTATATGTAGTTGTTTCTGTGGCTGTATCCTATGTTATGCTGGCTAGCTGTCTGTAGGCAAAGTACCTTCTACCGCCTTTGCCCGAATGGAGCGGCCGGTCATTATCATCGTATTTGGTGCAAACTCCAGTCCAGATACGGCCATTTTTACCGGGTGTCCTATTTGGGTGAACATGGTGAGGAACCAGCTTGCGGCCTGTAGCCATGGTGTCGCTTTAGGATACAGTATGTTGAGGAATAAGTAGAATATTGTCCGATAATGGTTTCGTTTTCAACAGACCGGCTCTAAGAGTGGAGATCCTGGCTGAGACGCTGCACATATGGAAGAGAGAGAGATGCGCAAAGTATATTGTTGTGCAGCCGTTGTGTATGCTGCTCCGGTATTGTGGTCGATCTCAAGATGATGCATCGTGTGTAATGGAGTTGGGCGTTTTTTCAGATAGAGTGCGTGCACTCAACCTTAGTGCCTCTCTGTGAAACAGTTCTCCTGTGCAATCTTGGTCTTTTTTTTAGCTGCGTGGTGTTGAAGCCACCTGACGAGGTCCTCGGTGAGGGAGATTGCTGGAGTATGCCGTGTGTGGTGATGCTGACAAGACTCGAAATCTTGCTGCTGGCGACAGTGTGGACACTGTGGAGTAAATTTGTATTCTCGTTTCCTCTGTGTGTGTGTTGTGTTCGTGGTCGCTTTTACGTTTCCTCTGTGTGTTGTGTTCGCGCTCGCTTGTACGTACAAATGCATGTGGTGCTTGTTGGCGTTCATACATCTACACACTCTCAGTGCGAAGGCAAACCTCATGTCAGTGTAGGGCATACTCATGCCAGTAGGCTGCTCTCCGATCTCCACCTGGTCTTCGCAGTGAGCCTTTTTTCCTCAACCTGCGGTGGTGCTTGCCCTCTCTATTGATGACCCTCCGTCAGCAGTTTCATCGGGGGGCTTGATATGCCTTTCCCCGAGTAAACATCCTGGATGTATGTGACTTCAATCATGGACAGCTTCAGTCCCAAATGTTGCAGTGTGAGTATGTGCCCTTAGTTGTTCTGCAATACATGGCTCACTGCGGCCTGTGGGTGGTTGAGTGAGGGGTGCATCGCTTCTTCCCTGTTCCTGATAAAGCTCTGTGAAGTTTGTTAACCAGAACAACAAAAAGATAGATGGAGGAGAAAAACCACATACGGAAGAGACACAGAACATATGACAATGTCCACCAAATTTGTCTAGTCTAGGTAAGCATGCTTTTTTCTGTTTGGGCCGTACTTGACCATGAGTGCACTTCTCTAATGCTCTTGATTCTGTACAGGCAATCAATTATGCAGTACTTTGCAGCATTTGATGCTTTGTGTGAAGAAGGGACGGCCACACCTGTGACCAAGGCGCTGAACCAAGTTGCAGATGTCAGTGTCGCAGGTATGAGAGCTTTTCGACACTCTGTTGGCCCACGAAACCTCTCCTTGCCCCCCAAACCCTCCTTGCCCCTTTCTGGTTCCCTTGGCTTCCAGGGTTGTCCAAATGGTAATGACCAGGGGTTGTGGGTTTGTGGTGTTTATCCGTGGCGGGTGGTTATACCGGCCGGTAATAGCTGGGCAGCCTCAGTGGGGGGCTCACGAGAATCTGCTTCTCCTTGATGCCCTGTGGTCTGGAACTCACCACAAAATTTGCACAAATGATTTTTTTTTAGATTCTTTGGATATCTGGTCAAATGGTGATCCCCAGGGGTTGTGGGTTTGTGGTGGTGATCCTTGGCTGGTAGTGCTCCTTGGCAGGTGGTTTTCCCGGCTGGTAATAGCTGGGTGCCCTCAAGAATCTGTTTCTCCTTGATGCCCTGTGAACTCGCCACAAAATTTTCAGATTTTTTGAAGGTCTGGTGTGGCGGGGGAAAAGAAACAGCAGTGATAACCAGAGTAGTGAGAGGCATAGTTCACCATCGGGGTAGCAGTCACGAGGGGTGAGGGTGCTGGTGGGTACATGGGAAGGTGGTGGTGGTTACCAATTGTGGGGGCGGTAGAGGTGGGTTGGAGGTCACCAGGGATGGGACCGGTGATTGTGGCGTCTGCCAGGTGCCTGGTGGGGTTGGTGGGAGGGGAAGGCACTCAGGAGTGGCTGTGTTGAGGTGGTGCTTACTTCTCTTTTTAACGTTTTTTGTTGATTTTTCTTTTCTCCTGTGTTGTCCCGGAATTCCCTGCAGTGATCCCTCGGGATTGATCCTGTTGTTTTGGTGATTCCTATGGCTGCTGAGCAGCACTGGTGATTACCAGTCAAGGAGGGAAAACCGTGCTCTCTGGTCTTGGCGCGTATTATTTATGAGATTAGCATAGGGTACAGTCTTGTTTGTTATATTCTGTTTGTGTCAAACTAGCAGGGGCAGTGGCGTGCCGGTTTTGGTTGAAGTTGTCCCTCTCTCGCTCTCCATAGAGACAGACATGAGATAGAGATAGACATAAAGGTACAGAGAGACATGGAGGTAGAGATGTCTCGCTATGCCTATGTCTATCTCTATCTCTATGGCCATGTCTATGTCTCTCTCTTATCTGTGAGTCTATCTATATCTGTCTCTATTGACATGGTATGGGAAGTATGAACATTTGAGCCTCTCTCGTGATTACCAGTTTCGAAATGCGTACCCACAGGCTCCATAAGAGTCCATTTCAAAAATCAAACTGGACAGTTTCACGGTTGATAACTCTATGAAATTTATACTTTTCCTATATTGTTTTTTTCTTGAAATCCATCTATTTCACAGCTCAACGAAGTCACCGAGACTGTCAGGGTGAGATTTTGGAAGGTTTGGTCGTCCGGATTGTTAGCCCTCGGAGTGCACAGAAGATGATGGAGGTAGTTCAGAAGTTTCCACTCCACTCGCAAGGTAAGGTCTACTGTCCCAAACCGCGGCTACTGCTTTCATCTTACCTTCTGCGTATGTACCCCTCCCTTTGTGTGCCCTTCTCTCCCCTTCTCTCACTCCATCTCTCTGGAGTTCTTTCTCCCTGTCTCTCTCCCACACTCTTTTCATCCTTCACAACAGCACCCCTGTTCTCCCTCCCCCCCCCCTGCGGTTTCTCCCCTTCCCCCCTGCTATCTTGGCGAAATGACCAACCACCCATTTCCAGATGCCCTTAGTTCTTCCCTTGCGACCCTCTATTCCTTCCTGTGCCCTTGTGTCTTGTCGTCTTTACCTCTTTCTGTGTCATAAGACTGGCATAATGAGGGGCAGGAGGGAGAATCGGCTTTTGCATTAGGGTAGGACTGAGAAGATGGAGTGAAGGTAGAGGGTAGTGACAGGGGTGGAAAACTGAATGGCATCCTTGCACAGGGACCAATGGTCCAAATTAGAAAAACAAAAAAAACTGAATGTCGTCTAGCAATGCAAGTGGATTTGTAGTTTGAAATTGACGAAGGTTGCAATAGAAAAATGAAGGAATAATTAAGTTTTAACCAGTGCTGTAGTCTTGCCAAAATGAACTGGCAATGATTGTCACTTGTACGCTTGCGGAAAGGATTGGTGTCTGTCTGGTGGCTACATGCTTGACTGCAGTCACAGAACTCGTCAAGGGGAATTTCTGGTGCCTTGTCGTCTCCGTCTCCCCTCCCTTCCTCATGTGGATGTAGCAAGTAAACACCGAAGAGAAGGCAGTGTGTCCTGAGATCTGACCTCTTCGGATAATCGTTCCTTCCTTTGGTTGTTCACCTGATTGGGAACGGATGCTTTAGAGGTCAGCTGTCATCAACATATGCTTTGGAGTACCTCAGCTCATAATCCATGCCCACCTTGGGCAACTAAAACCCATGCCGACCTTGGTCAACGCTATTCCATGCCAACTTTGGTCAAGGTCGGCATGTATTACAGTTGACCAAGGTCGGCATGGATTACGAGCTGAGGGACCTGTAGGTCCAACATGTTTTGGATGGACCTGACAGGGCTTTTATAGGCTATAGGCAATCACGGTATTCTGTGGTGACGGTTGACCGGGTCCAACTTGCTTTACAGAACCTGGTACGCTTCAGAAGAGGTGGTTGGGTCCTTAGTAGAGCACGGTGAACATGCATCTGCGTACCTGGTATACTTTACATGATCTGTTTGATTTTTTTAGTTGACCAGAGTCAACACGGCTGTTACAGGACCAGCTCAACCTCTATACGTTGACCTTGTCCTTGATAGAGGTCAGTGCACTTTTTAGGGGACTTGTCTGACCTGACCTGGGCCTCTAACAATGAGCTGCGCTGGGTGATTGGGCTTACTGGGCGGACCTGGCAAATGTACTCGAAAAAGCTCCAGAGAATGGTTGATTATGTGATATGCCATATTTTGTACATGTACAATTGCCTCTTGACAACTTTGGAGCTTTTTTGTAGGCCTAAAGAATAACATCTATGTACATGCATACGTATGTTGTGGTGAACCTTCTACCTGAGAGGCAGAAAAGAATGTAGCCACGGGTACGGACTCTACGGACTCCTGATTTTTTTTTGGGGGGGGGGCCCGGGGGGGGTAAATTTGGTTTCATTTGTCTAGTTTATTGTCTGGATTTGAACGTGGGTCAGTATTTCAACAGTTCATGGATGTACCAACTTAGCTAAGATCTCCACATTACGCCCCCTCTTTAAACCCCTTTAGTGGCTTTAGCCCCTTAAAATTTTAAAACCAATTTATATGGTCCAATTTATACGGTTTTTATACCCCCCTTTTCCCCCCTTTTCCCCCCTTGACAGCCAATACTCAGAAAAAGACAGGAGTCTGGATTTGGACTGGACATATGCAGAAAACCTCTTCTGCCAAAAAAAAAATTATTCAGAAAAAGAGAGGAGTCTGGATTCAGACTGGATATATGCAGAAAACCTCCTCTGCCAAAAAAAAATGAAAGGACCCCACTTGATCCCACATGGCTTCCCCTGGTCAACGCGCCGAGGGGCTGCCACGCTTGACAATCTTCCTTTTTATTTATTTATGTCAATTATTTGTTTATTTTTGTGCTTTTTGTGTGTGTGTGTGTGTGTGTTTGTTCTCTTCTCATCTGTGAAACTGTTGTATGCAGAGGTTTTTGGTGCTCACGGGTTGAGAGAGATTTGCGCCATGAACAGAGCAAGTGAGAAAGCGGTGAGTTCGTTGGCATGTTATATTCTGATCTCTCTCTCTCTCTCTCTCTCTCTCTCTCTCTCTCTCTCTCTCTCTCTCTCTCTCTCTTTCTTTTTCCCTCTTCTTCCCCCCCCCCCCTCCCCCCCCGCCCTTTCTCCCCTCTCTCTGTCCTGCTTACCCTTTCTCTTTCTCTCTCCCTCCCTCATCTGCCTGAATTCCAGACTGGTGCACTGGTTATCGGGCGTCCCGAGGCTCATTATGTAAGGAGAATGTGGATTCCTATCCGGGTTTTCAATAGAAGTGGGACATGATAAAGTGTCTTTTTGCCTGACACACACTCTCTGTCTGGCATTCTCTCTCTCTCTCTCACTCTCGCTCTGTGCACTGTTGCAGAATCCTCTTTTATGCACCAGTGCACAGAGAGTGAGAGAGAGAGGTCTGTGATTGTGAGGAACTTTTTTATTTGTTCCCTTTTTCTTTGCAAAAAATGTAGAAAAAATACAGTTGTCTTCTCCTCATATATGATGGACAGCTGTATTTTTACTACGCTATTTTCTTTTGTCAATTCATCCTCACACTAGCTACCCATCCAACCGGGACCAGTATCGACCGGCAGTCCAGGAACCAGGCTCAGCCAGCTATTCAAATATATGCATTATAACACAGCGAGCTACAGGTTATGGGTTTAAGCCTCCCTAGTCTACCCCAGCTTATCTATCCCACTATGGAGCATAGGGAATCCTAGTTATCTACGCTACTCAGTGCGAGTAGTAGTACCCAAGCTCCTAACCCCTAGCACGGGATGGAAGTAGTGCACATCCCCTTACCAAGACCAACCAGGTGGGGCGAGCCAACTATTTCCGCTGGTGAGCCCGAAGTGTTGCACAGGGGTCGTGGGGAGGTGAATGGATGACGTGGGGAATCGAACCCACGACCTCCTGGAGTGCCACTTACGTTCTCTACCCAACTGAGCCAGGCCTTTGCCCTTTTTTTATTTTTTTTCCTGGTTTCCTTTTGCCATTTTGGGTAATTTCAAGAAGCGGGATTTGCTCTCTGAATTGCTGCTCTCCTTGCTTCTCCCTTCCTGATGGACATCTGATGTACGGGTTGTTTTCTTGCATTGTTATTCTGAGTTAGGTAGGAGTGCATATCTCTGTTGGGCAGGTGTCTGACGTGGAATGTCATCCTCTTCGTGGCAGATCCAAAGGGCTCTTCTGGAAGCAGTTGGCCCGGTAATGGCCCCAGACAAGACGGATTGGTTTCCTGGGAGCCAGCCCCCTTTTGACGAGAACGAGGCATTTGGTGTGTTCTTAAATGCACCTGCATTGGACTATCCGACGGCGAAGTTCCAGGTTCGTCAACTGGCCTCCTTCAGTGCAGCTCACTCCCCTGACTAAACCATTAGTGTACCAGGTTTGCATGCCAGGAAACTGTGTGGTGACTTTTCTCCCTTGTGCTGAAAGCACGGGCTCAAGCCGTCCAACATTCGAAAGCCAGATGAGGCTGCGGACATCCTTGCTATATGGAGCTTACCGTAGTGAGTATGACAAGACACCGTCCATGGTTAAGGCTGGCTGTTACAGCCATGCTTCTTCGGGGCTGTATCGAGAGACAAACCTAGCAAGCACCGTCTCCCATACTATATTGAGAAGCAAACGTGACTATAGACTCTTATCCGAGTCGACCCCCCCCCCTTTTTGGATGGGCTGTCCCTGTGTGATCTACTGTGGTGTAGGGTGGGATTTGTTGGTTATTTCAGGAGAAGTGAAGGGGGAAGGGGGGGAATTGTGAGCTTGACAGCTTGTAGCAATCAGATGCCTCTCCTTAGTTATTATCAGGCAAAAACCTGCCTGAAGCAGATGCCTCTCCATTTGCATCAGTGAATCAGTGGACTAAATGGTATCAGTGATGATCACATGACTACTGTGCATTTGTTTTTGCAGGAAATGATTCGCACTATTAAGGGAAAGCGGCTGCAGTGTCGATTTAAGTGCAAGGCGCGATGGCCGTCTTCGTCTGAGCTGGGAGAGGCATCATCTCAACAGCTGGGTGAACTGCAGAAGTACAGAATGACTGTTCATGTTTTCCAGGACTTCGCCTTCAGACGGTATTCAGCGGAGATGAGGTGAGAATCCTTCCCCACCTCTTCCCCCTCCCTCCCTCTCCGCCCCCGGCCCCTTTCCCGCCCACTCACACCCATCCTCACCCCGCCCACTGCCCTTGCGCTGTTGAGATGGTAACGACTGATCAGTTACTTGTTTGCAGGTTAGTTTGCATGGTTGATAACCGTCTGTTTGTCTGCAAATTGCATTCTCTTCCTTCTGTTGTTTGCAATGCTGAATCCTGTGGATGGGCATGTCCGACGACTTTCTGCATCTGCGCTTGTCGAACTTGATGTCACGCGTGATTGATAGATTCCTGTTTGTGTGAGAAGTTGAGAACTGCCAATCCCTCTCTTCGCGACTGCATTTCTTTCATTTTGCGTGAGAATGGCTGGCTGATAACCTTAGTGTTCTCTTTCATTTTGTGCGAGACATGTTGGCAATGAAGAGCTTTGTGTTAAAATTCTTGCATCTGAGTTGATGGCGTGCATGACTGATGGTTTCCTGATTCTGTTCATCCGGAATTCTTCAGCAACTCCTCGGTGAGGGTTAGGGCTTGTTTGGGGTGTCTGCGGTTAAGGGTTCTAGGGTCGAGGTTTATGAGTTTGAAATTTGGAGTTGAGGAGAGGTTGGCCTGAACCTCAAGGCATAATGGTTGATTGTGACTTTTAGAGTCCGAACTATTGGTTCACATGGACTCTTTGAAGTCCTCATGTTTATGTGTCTCCTGAAGGGCACAATGTGTAGGACTAGAAGTAATTTTCAGGTGTTTGTGAATGAGAGGATAATTCAGTTCCTCATCTCCTTTGCGTTGATTATTAGGGTTGGGATTATTATGGATGTGCTGGTGCAACCAATGTACTTTTAATGACGTTGACTGATGGTGTTGTGCGATGCTTGTTTGCCTCAGGAACAATCCAGAGCTATGGCCACTCTATCGAGGTGAGTTTGGTAACATACATGCAGATGTGGTTTGAGGACATGGATGCAGCGTATAGTCCAAAATACCGAGTACTGGGATTGTAGGAAGTACTGAGATTATAGGAAGTCAGAAATTGTTCGGTGGACTGGGTCTGCTGAGTTTGTCAGGGTCTCAGTTGAGTGTCATTTCCCAGGGCTAGATCTGCATATACTTAGGGCATACGCACACTTTCGACTAATTTCTGGAGCTGATTGCACTGAGGTACATGCAGTTTGGACGGCATTGTGGTCGGATTACGACTCGGATACAGTCAGGAAAGTGATAGTCTGAGTATGCTCTGACTTTGTTGAGGTTTCACCATCCAACGCTGTTTTCCATGGCTTGATCTGACGCGTGCTTCATATATATGGCCTTCTCTCTTCTAATGTGAGATTGTGTCTAATACTTAATGTTGGTGGAAAAATAGAGAATGTAGTAATGTACACACGATATTGGTCTGTAACACTTCATATCACTCCATATGTTATTGGACAGAAGTCGCCACCAACCAAGCCTGGCAGCACTCGGCCTTTATGGCATTTGATTAACTGTTTGTAGGTGATTTTACTTGTGCTATGACATTTCATCGTTTCGCAAAACTTGCAGGCACAGACTTAGCGCCATTAACTGTTTGTAGGTGATTTTACTTGTGCTCTGACATTTCATCGTTTCGCAAAACTTGCAGGCACAGACTTAGCGCCGTTCAGTAACCAAGAAGTCTAACGGGGAAAAAGTTTTAAGAAGTGATAAAGAAGAGGGTAGTAGCAAGCAATGAATATTTTGCACATTCCGTTGTTTCTGTAAAACACCGGCTAGCTCAGTTGGTTAGGCATGCAAGTGGCATTCAGGAGGTTGTGGGTTCAAGCCCCATGGCCGCCTGCGGCGCACTTAGTGCCAACGGACTGTGATAGTCCTCTGGATACCCCTGATCGGTATTAGCGGGGTCTATGACCAACACGGGTGTGAGTGTGAGCG